TATGAATCCAACCATAAAACATTATTTGCAGAAATAGAGAAACCTAAATAATTAGAAAAATATTCATTGCTCATGGGTAGGACAAATCAATATAATGATAAAATTAACCTAAATTAATTTATTCATTACCATGGCAATTAAATTACCAAAGGATTACCTTATAGAGCTAGAAAAATTTTAAAAATTCAAATAAAAGAACAAACTATCAAGAACCTCAAGGATAATAACGAATAAAAAAAAAAGAAGAGAGAGAGAGAGAGAGAGAGAGAGAGAGAGAGAGAGAGAGAGAGAGAGAGAGAGAGAGAGAGAGAGAGAGAGGAGGACCTCAGCATCAAATCTCAAAGCAGTAATCAGTAAAATCATTTGGTACTGGTTATAAAAAGGGGTGGGGGGGAGAAGGAGGCAATCAGTGGAACAGATTAGGTATACAACATACTGAAACAAATGAACAAAGAAGTGAGGTGTTCCCTAAACACAAATATCCCAGTTACCAGGAGAAGATCTCACCATTTGACAAAGACTGCTAGGAAAACTAGAAAGCAGTGTGGCCAAAATATGGGCCAACATGTTATATTGTATATATGCCAAGATAAACTCCAAATTGATACGACTTAAATATAAAGGGACATACCATGAGCAAATTAGAGGAGCAAAAAAGAAATCAACTCTCAAATCCATAGATAAAGGAAGAGTTCACGACCAAACAAGGGACAGAGTGAATCATAGGAGATAAAATAGACGATCTTGATTATGCAAAATTGAAAAATTTTTGAAGCCTGTGTTTTTGGGGTTTTTTTGGGGGGGGGGGCAATGGGGGTTAAGTGACTTGCCCAGGGTCACACAGCTAGTAAGTGTTGTATCTGAAGCTAGATTTGAACTTGGGTCCTCCTGAATCCAGGGTTGGTGCTCTATCCACTGCGCCACCTAGCTGGCCCCAAAATTGAAAAATTTTTGCACAAAGATATCTAAATCAACTAAAATTTGAAGGGTAATAAGTAATTTGGAAAAAAAAATCTTTACAGCAAGTTTCCTCTGATAAAGGTCTCATATCCAAGATACATAAGGAAGTGGTTCAAATTTATAAGACTAAGAGCCCTTCCCCAATACAGAAATGGTCAAGAGCAGCTAGGTGGAGCAGTGGATAGAGCACTAGCCCTAGAGTCAGGAGGACCCGAGTTCAAATCCAGCCTCGGACACTCGACACTTACTAGCTGTGTGACCCTAGGCAAGTCACTTAACCCCATTGCTTAGCCAAAAAACAAAAACAAAAAAAAAAAAGACAGAGAGAGAGAGAGAAATGGTCAAATAATATAAACAGACAATTTTCAAAAGAAGAAATCCAAATTATCAACAACCTTGTGAAAAAATGCTCAAAATTAGAGAAAAGCAAATTAAAGCAACTTTGAGGCTCCCCCTCAAACCCATGAGATTGACAAAGATGACAATAAAGGAAAATGAAAACTGCTGGCGAGGCTGCAAGAATACATGCACACTAATATACACTGTTGATGAAGCTGGGAATTGGTGTAACCATTCTGAAAAGCAATTTGTAGCTATGCCCCAAAAGTTATTAAACTGTACTAAACTAAACCACTATAACACTACTAAGTCTATATTCTCTCAAAGAGATCAAAGAAAGAGATAAAGGATTCATATGCTCAAAAATATTTATAGCCAATTTCTTCAGAGTAACCCAAACTGGCAAACTAAATGTCCGCTTACTGGAGAATGCATTGCTAAACAAGTGGATTATGAATGTAACAGAATATCACCATATAATAATGATGAAATGGACAGTTTTCAGAGGAAATTGGTAACATCTACAAATTGATGTAGACTGAGCTATAGAGAACAAATTTATACAATGACAACAACGTTAAGAAAAAAAAATTGAATGACTTTAGAATTCTGATCAATGCAATGATAAACCCCAACTCCAGAGGACTTAAGATGAATCATATCACCCACTTCTTGCTATAGAGGCCACAGACTGAAAATGCACAGTAAGATGTACTCCCGTTTTTGGACATGGCCAATGTGGGAATTTATTTGGCTAGACTATGAAATCTGCTAAGGGTTTTTTTCTTTTCTTTTCTTTTGGGGGGGGGGTTCAATGGTGGGGAAGGGAAGGGAAGCAGTGAGAGGGAAAGATAGTAAGTGTTTGTTCAAAAAAGTTAAGGATATCCTTATTGTGGATACTGATTTTGTATAGATGGGAAGCACACTGCTTGGGCTCAGGAGCTAAGGTTAGTAAGAGGAACGTGTTCTCCCCAAAAGTTCCCCCGAGCCCCCATAAAGAGTCCGAATTGTAGCAAAATGGTGGTCATCCTTTTCAGGGAACACTCCAGGCACTCCATGAAGTGGTTATATGACAAAGTAATTGGATGGGGAGTCAAGGAAGATCTCACAAAGAAGATGGTGCTTGAACCGAGCTTTGAAGGGAACCAAGGATTCCGAGAGGCAGGAAAGAGGAAGAGTGAATTCCAGGCATGTGGGATAGATATGGCCTGTGCAAAAAGCCTGGGGAAGGGCAATGAAAAGTCAGCAAGAAAGTTAGTTTGACCAGACCTTAGAGTGTGTGAAGGGGAGGAACGTGTGGTAAGACTGGAAAGGTAGGATGGAGCCAGGATATGAAGAGTTTTGAATGTCAAACAGGAGGCTAAATATGATCCTAAAGACAACCTGGAGGCATAGCGTGCCAAGGTCATGCCTGGGCTTTAGGAAAATGACCTTGGAAGCTGTGGGGAGGATGAACTGCAGAGGAGAGAGACTTCAGGCAAAGAGATGAATTACGAGGATACTGAAATAATCCAGGTGAGAGGTGATGACACCTTGAACAAAAGTGGTAGCTATGTATGCAGAGAGAAGAGGGCTTGATGTGAAAATAAAAACAGCTGGCATTTATATGTTACCTCAAAAGTTTACAAATATTATACGTCTTATCTCATTTGATCCTTACAACCACCCTCGGGAAGGTGTTATTATTAGCTCCATTTGACCTTTGATGAGGAAACTAGGGCTAAGAGAGGTTAAGTGACTCGCCCAGAGTCATACAGCTAGTAGACATCTGAGGCAGAATTTTAACTCAGGTCTTTCAATCCAAGTCCAGCACTCTATCCACTGTGCCACCTAGCTGCCTCAAATTTTGTGGAGGTAAAATTGAGAAGACTTGGCGGTTTTGTACCAGCGTGACTAGAAGGATGGTGGTGCCCTCCACAGAGCTAAGGAATATACAAGGAGAAGTATTTGGCTTCTCAAGACAGACACTTGCCTTACACCCACAGTCTGGGGGCAGGACATGGATGATGACCTAGCAAAGGAGACCGAGAAGCAGACAGACACACAGAAAAACCAGGAAAGATAAGAGTCACAAAAACCCAGAGGAGACAGTGATCAATAGTGTTAAATGCCACAGAGAACTCAAGGAGAAACAGGACTGAGAAAAAGCTCTTGATTTGACTATTTAGAGATCACTGGTAATTTGGTGAGACGGTTTTCAAATGAAAGGTGAGGTCACTAGTCAGATTACAAGGAGTTTAAAAAGAGGAAATGTAAAAAGCATAGACAACTTTTTCCAGGACTTAGGCTGAGAAAGGGAAGAGATGAATAGTTTTGACAGCTTGGGAAAGGATGCTAGGGCCAAGCGAAGGTATTTCTAAGAATAAGGGGGACACTTGTACATTTGTAGGGAGCAGAGAAGGGGTCAATAAATAGGAAGAGATTGAAGACTGCAGACAGAAAGCATGAGTGTGGGGAAAAGCTACTGGAGGAGACAGGAAGAAACTGAATCAAAGGTGGAAGTATCAGAGCTGGTCTCTTCCAGAAGCACCACTTCAGAGGCTTCAATCAAGGAGAATGACAACAAAAGATTTTGATATATAAAGAAGGGGAGAAGACAGAACTGAGATCAAATAAATTAGTTGGGGCGGGACGTGAAAAGGTTTGGAACAACTGCTGTGGGGAATGCAAATGTCAATTAGGGAATAGTAAAAGGATGGCCTTTAAGCCTCGATGGCCAAATAGAGATTCAATAACAGATTCACAGTGGACTCAAAATAGCTGTGACTTCCTTAGGTATTGTTCAGCAACAAGTAAGAATGGAGGAGGTAACACCAAACTGGGATGTGGCATGAGTATCATATGGGACAAAGGATTAGAAAGGACAGCGTCAGTTTCAATTGGTTAACTTCTGTTGTTATTTTTCAGTTGTTTCAGACTCTTCAGGACCCCATTTAGGGTTTTCTGGACAAAGATACTAGAGTATTTCCTTCTGCTCATCTTACAGATGAGGAAACTGAGGCAAACAGGGTTACGTGACTTGCCCAGGGTCACACAGATGGTAAGTGTCTGAGACTGGATTCAAACTCACAAAAGAGTTTTCCTGACTCCAGGGTCAAGACTGGGAAAGGAAGAAAGTACGGGCAGAAGGAGGTGGGTGAATGGGGGGTGGGGGTGAGATTTGGCTGAACACTGAGGGTCTTGAAGTCATAGTGAAGATGAAGATCAGAGACAGAAAGGGAAACAGAGAGAAGGGGAGAAGGACCACAGGTGATGAGTCAAAAGAGCAGCTTTCTGAATTCTTGATCCTGTATTTGGAACATTTATGAGCAACGGTGAGATTGAGGGTGTAACCAACCATCTGTGTATGTGTGGGTGAAGCAGAGAAAACGATTTGACTAAGTTCACACCCACAGCAGAATGTGGCATTCTCTACAAGCAGCCCCTATATCTGGGCATTTTACAGGACTAATCAGAAAAATATCCCCAGTGTACCTACCTGCAGACTTAGAGAGGGCAGGGGACAGGATTTATAATTCCGTCTCTCCCTGGTGTGTGCTAGCTCAGACCAACACTTGATGGCTGGATGTATTAAGGTGAGGTGAGAGTTTAGTGGAAAGGGGAGATGAAAAGGGTCAGGATCTCTCCCTTCCTTGAGACAAAGCCCTCCTTGGCTTCCCTAGCTAGGAAGCTCCCTCTCCTCCCTTCTCCAGGGAGCTCACCTGGGTAGGAAGAGAGGACCGGTGCAGACATAGACATTGTGATAAGTTTGGGTCAATCTTCTGCAATACTTTTCCAAATTGTTCCAGGCATTCTGGTTTAGGTGGGGCACCTAAAAGAGAAAGCACAGAAAGAGGGATGGAAGTCAGAAGGTCCTATGACTTCAGACCTCACCACCCCCTCTCCTGAGCTCAAACACCCAACACATCCCCTTTTCTAGTATTAGGCACTAGATTCAATCAGGCATGGCAAAGCACTACCTGGCATTTAGCTGTGGGAAGGAGAGACTCGGGTCCAAGGGGAGAAAATGGTAAACAAGCAAGCACAAAGTCTCAGAGTAAAACTGCAAAACACCACTGTAAATATTTACATCTTGCAAACATGCTATAATTGGAAATACTTCCAATTTATCCCGTATATAGCTTGTTTGTAAGCAGCTGCTTGCACCCTGACTGAACCCCTAGAGAGCAAGGAATTGTTTTTCGCCCTTCTTTGTATTCTTCGAGTTCAGCACAATGCCTGGTACACACCTAGTAGTAGACGTTTAATAAATGCTTATTAACTGACCCACACCTGCAAACATAACCACAGTGATGCCCAGAGTTGCTCCACTCTAGAGGAGGCTCCGACTCGCCGTGAGGCCAGTCCTTCCACCCCTACCTGCTATGATCCTAAAGCAATTTCGAATTTCTCTACAGTAGGGTATTGGGCTCCTCCCGTTCCACCAAGGGGCAAACCCTAGGAAAAATGGGTCCACCGTTAAGGGTCCATGGTAAGGATCGGCCTGTATGCCGCGACTCAACAAGCCTAGTTTCCAGTGCTCGCGGCCGACAACTGGTGCCCCTGGGCAAGTCCCTTCCCCTCTCCTCCGGACCTCTGTTTCCCCAGTTGCATAAAAGGCCGGCTGGACAGACGCGGGACCCGGGGCTCTCGACGCTGACCTGCGGCGCCACGTTACTCAGGTAGAAAGTGTCGTCCATGGCCTTCTGGCTCCAGCGGTGGTTGGCGGCGGCTGCCAAGTGGCCACGGTCGAAGCCGCTGCCCCGGTAGTCGGCGTTGGTGGCCCGATGGTAGACATGCACCGAGTCGTCCTCCTGGAAGCCGCAGGTCTGGCGGTCGCCTGGGCCCCGCAGCCGCTCGGGCTTCAGCTGCTCGATGACCCACATGGCGCTCCGGCTGCGCGGGTCGTAGCACAGCACGTAGGACTCGCGGCTCTTGAGCTGCGCCAGCCCCGGCAGCCCGTACTTGGCGAGCTCGCCCGGGCCCTCCGTCGGCACCACGGGCCCCGCCGCCGCCGCCGCCACCGGCAGCACGGGGAGCCGGCTCCAGAGCCCTCCCATTCCCGGGCTGGCTTTCCTGTTCAGCCATGCCACGGCCCCCGCCCCCAGCCCGGCCCCAAGGGCCAGGGACAGCCCCGGGACCAGCCAGCGGCCAGCCTGCATGTCGCCCGCCACGTACCCTCGAGCCTCCCCAGCTCCGGGAACGCTCCGACCTTCGGCGTTCTGACCGGAGCCCGGGACGTCGCTCTTAAAGGGGCCAGGGCGTCACCTCCCGAGGGGCTTAGCGAGTGGCTCCCACCTGTCGCGCTTCAAGGGGAGCCGCTTAGCAATCCGGAAGTTCCAGAATCCTCGAGCTTGCGGCTGACCCCAGATTTCTCTTGCACCTGGGTGTTGCCCTTTTAAGAATCTGGTTTAGGGTCTAGTCAACTGCTACCTATGGGAATGACTGGCAGCTCTAATTTCCGGCCTTAGGGCATGGTTACAGCCTTGCGCTAGATAGCGTAGGCGAGTATCTCAGCGAGCCGAAGATCCTCCAGGAGAGTAGTTCCTCCCACTTTTGGTCTTTTCGACTGGACGTCTGTAAATCTAGAGGCTAGGCCGTAAGATAAGAAGTTTAATAAGCAGCTGCCAGTTGGCTGTAATAACTCAATGAAACAAAAGGATACACACAAACGTGAGATTTTACACTGCCTTAGAGCAGGCGCAGAAGGAGCCCATCAGGTGAAGCTGTTCAGCCACTTTATTTGAGAGGTTGAGTAATGGGAATAGGATATCAGGTGTTGGCGGTAGGGGAGAGAGTCTTAGCCTTGGGCTGTAACCAAAGTCCGGTCAGATCCGATGCGTAGTTAATATCATCAGACCATCCTGGTGGGGCGAAGAGTATCTACTTATTTCCATCAGAATGTCTAGGTGGAACCTGAGGTCTGAGATAGTGGAGGCCACCCTTTGAGATGGAATCAGCGAATCTGTATTTATTTATTCGGCCCTCTCTGCATGTTATATTTCTTTGACCTCCAAGACTGCTATTTCTGGGGACATGCCCCTCCCCCCAACACATAGCACCCAGGTTTTGTCCATTTCCTCCTCCACATTGGCAGGGCAGGTTGGCTCCTCACGTCTGGGAATGGTCGTGCCACATGTCACCTCCTTTCCCCACGATGCTACAAAACATGGCAGTGGGGTACACGTGAGATGTCCCCAGGTTCATGACCATCGGTCTACAGTACAACACAGTAACAGCTCATTGTACAGATGGAAAAACAGATAAGGTTGAATTAGTCATTCCCAATCCTAGCATTCACAAGCCTCAGCATTTTACCAGTTTACTAAAGCATCCCTAAGAGGATGGAGCCAAGGCCAGAGTAACTAGCATTCTAGTACCCTTTATCACTGCTCTTCTGTTAAAAAACCTACTGACCCACTAGTCCAGTGCCTGAATCCTAAAAACAGGTAATATATTTTGAAACTGTTGCCTTCAGACTAAAGAAGTCTGAACTCTTTGCAAATTCTGCTGAATAATGTCTGACACTCTGAGGTAAAAATTAAAGTTATTAGCCATGCCTGATTTTCACAGTCATTTTGTTTTAAGTATGGGCTCCCAATAGGGACAGCCAACAGTTGTGTTAGGCCAGAATTGGCACCAGAGAATATACTGGTTTTGAAGGTTTCACCTCCCATCTTTGGGCCTTGGTTTCCACATCTGTTTAAAAAAAAAGTGGGGGAGTAGAGAGTGAACTTGATGATCCCAAAGTTTGTGGAATCTCTAATATTCCATAGAATCTTGATATTCTCAGTCTTTTTCAAAGTTCATTGACCATCACAAGATTTTCTCCCATTACAAAGCTGTTTTAGCACAACTCAATCACACTCAATGGGTCCATTGCAAAGGAAAGACACATGATTTATTAAGACAAATTGTCATGAACAGCACTGATTATGAAACAAAAAATTTAAAAGAAAAAACATTCTCAGCAATCCAAAGAAATGCCTACTGGATACCACGAACAACAAAACTGGAAAAAGTCTGTGGGCTAAGGCCTTAGGTCCAGCTCTTGAGGAAGTTCTCCAATAGAAAGGCTTACCTCTAGCCAGCCAATGCTACAGGTACCAGCCTTTTGGAGACCACTGACTTAGGACCCAGGTCTATAGACCTGACCACTTTCACGAGTCCACCATTTGATTCTGGGAGCTTAACGAAAGAAAAGGAAAGCCAGATCTGCAACAAACTAGGTCAATGGTCTAGAACAGGGGTAGGGAACCTGTGGCCTTGAGGCCTTATGTGGCTCTTTGATTGAATGCAAACTTCACAGAACAAATCCCCTTAATAAAAGGATTTGTTATGTAAAACTTGGACTCAGTCAAAAGGCCACATGTGGCCTTGAAGCTGCAGGTTCCCCACCACTGCTGGACACTTCCCAATTTAAACCTCTCATGGCTTGACTCATTGCTAACACAACACCCTCTCCATATCCCCAGCCTTCTTTGCATGGTTAAGAAAGCACGAGGACAGTTACAGAGAGTAGTGGTAGGCTTCTGGGGTGATCAGGTCCCATATTTGTTACAGGATTATATATATAGCACAGTATAGGCCCGGAGAAGGCAAGAAGGGAATGTGTCTGAGCTTATCTGGGCAGTCTTGGCTGGACCCCTGAGCCAGAGCCCTCAGGCCATAAAAATATTGAGGTACAATCCTGGTACTTTAAGGTAAAACAGAGAATATTTTTCAAGCCTAGGGTCCTTGGAAGAGGAAAAAAAAACAGCCAGAGAAGGGATCACCTACTCTACTACTCCAGGAGAAAAGCTGGTGGACAGTCATAGAGGGTCTGACTTTGAAAACATGACACAGCTTCCTTCCTCCTTCCTTTAAAGTTTAGACAGGGTCATTCAGGAGGAAAATAAGTGAAAGAATACAGCTAGTGCTTCCTTGATTTTCTTCTACCCAATAAATAGGAGGAAATTTCTAATTGCTCCCAGGTACTTCAAGTGCATGCCCTATCCCTTAAAATTCTCTAGGATAGTAGACAGAACCTAAAGTCTAAAGACAGAACCTAAAGCCTAAAGACAGAACCTAAAGCTGGGGGTGGGGGATGGAGAGTATCTTCTACAGGCAGTTCTCTGCTCAAGCTGCCTCCTTACTGCCCCAGAGTACCACAGACTCCACAGCTCCAATCAGAAGTGGAATTAAAGGGGCAGCTAGATGGTGCAGTGGATAAAGCTCCGGCCTTGGAGTCAGGAGGACCTGAGTTCAAATCCAGCCTCAGACACTTGACACTTACTAGCTGTGTGACCCTGGGCAAGTCATTTAACCCCACTGCCTAGGCAAAAAAAAAGAAGTGGAGTTGAAAGGAATCACCCAGGATACTAACTAGGCAAGTACCATGAGGTAGGGAGCCCAAAGGAAAGGAAATCATCTATACGTATTTTTTTTCTCTCCCTCCTTTCAGAACCAAGCCTACAAAAGTGGCAAAGATGGTTAGAAACTATAATTAGACTGGTACAAAAATAAAATGGGGGAAGGGTAGTGGTGGGATCTCCAGGTAACTTTGACAAGTCATAAGGGCTATACATTCATTTCCACCACCATATTTGCCCATCTGTAATAAATAATGGAGTTTTAGTAAACTCTCCTAAATACTGACAGGGCTAGAAGGGCAAGAGCAGGAGACAGAAGCTTATGGAGAAGTCCCTGTGAAATGGAATGAGGACCCTAGCCTAACAACTGGGACCAGTAAAAGAAATTGTCTCCTTATCAGGAATATGACAGAATTCAAGCTTGGGAAATACCTATGGAGGCACATGATGGGGAGAAGGCCTAGAGAATCAGACCCAAGACCCTGGGTCTTGCTGGATGGCATGTGGTGTGGGAAAGGGGAAAAAAAAAAAACAAACCTTAGGACTCTCCCTCTGATACTTTATTCTTTCTACCTTCTCCTAATATTATACAAACAGACGCCAAAGAGAAATAACATGCTTTTGAACACATTCACCCACTGCTGTTATCAAGGGGAGAAGTGGCTTCCAAAGGGGCCAGGCTAGAGCCAGCTGGCCAGCAAACCCTTCTAGGATTATCCTACTTTGGTGTCTATGCCAATGGAGTGCTAGCTTGTTCTCTAAACAAATCATCTTCCCTGTACTAACACATTTGGGCTCCTTAGTCCTCAGCATTAGCATCAGAAGTCCCTTTGGAGGTAAGCCCTATTATAAATTACAATAAGTGCCTGTCAGCAACTGACCCCAGTTGCTCATCCCAGTTTCCTCATTATTTGATACCTGTCCCCAAATCAGTATAAGCTAATAATTCTAAGCCATTTTCCTATTAAGAACTCTCCTTTCCAGTTAAAACCTTGGATCTGAACTGAAGAAACAAGTTGCAGTGCTTTCCATAGTCCCTGGGTCCCTGCCTCCCACCTCTGAGCCCTTTCCAGGCAAGTGGTACCCTTGTAGGGTTCTAAAGACAGAGACCTAAGGGAGGAAAAACAACAAAGGTTTTCTGGATGGTATTAGGCTCAAAACATCCATAGGGTAAAACTTAGTGACTCCTGGTCTCCGAGACAGAGATCTTTAATTGGGCAGTGAAGGAACCCTGGGTCAGCCAAACTCTGAAAACACTGTGGGCCTGCCAAAATGTGGTGGGCAGAGGTTTGAAGGTGAGGGATTCAAGGGTGCAAGAAACATCCAAGGTCCTGAACCTGTGCAGTCATACAAGCAAGGTCTGAGCTCCCTAGCACTGCCACTGTCCTTGGCTCCCTCGAAATAAGGCCTTAGTGTTATCAAGTGATTCACCACCTGGGGATCCTATTAGACTAATTGCTTTGATAAAATTGGGGAAAACAGCCCTGAAATAAGGCAAAATAGGAAAGTGAGAGAGGGAAGAAACACTGAGAGCAAAAAGAAGTTCCTCATGATCAGCCTCTTGGTTCTTTCTAGTGGTGCTTTCTCAGGGAAGCAGCTTTCAAAGCCCCTGCTAGAGGAGGAATGAAGGGTCTCTAGAAAATTCTTTACTTCCCCACCCCCACGATATATGGTGAGGCAGATCCAGAAGCAGGAAAAGCAGTAGTTGTGATCCTCAGCAGCAGGACTGAGGGAAAGATAGGGAGGTAGAGACATGAAGTGACCCTTGTCAACTTCCAGGCAGACCACTCACCCAACAGAATCCTTCCAAAGAAAGTGAGCCTGGCTGGCTCCAATCCTGAAATGGTCTGGAGGAAATTGATGATAAGGTGTGAAGTGTGCAGTGGGATAGGGGGAGACTGAGAAGGGAATGGGAAACATTAGACAGATAATGAAATATCAAAGTAGGAAAATAAAATACAATTATAAAAGAATGGAGCTGCTTCGGAGGTGCTGATTGGGTCATGTGAATGAGTGACACCTGGAGCAGGGTATTCAATCAGCCTGAACTCTACTGCCCCAACAGCTTCAGGCACAACAGAGGCATCTGGGAGTCTCCAAGGGCTGACACAGATTCAGCCCTGACCACAAGGCCTTTTTGTATGTAGTTGGAGTCCTGAGCCTCCCTGCTACCAGCCTACTTCGAGTCCTGGAGCTCCTTGGCTTTCTGTAGGATGTGGTGAACATCTGTGATGGGGTAATCCTGAAGAGAGATGAAACAACAGAGGTTTTTCACATGGATGTATCCTTACCGTCAGCAAAGAATTCAGGGCTAGAGAAGGTGCTGCTAAGACAAGGAATCCCAATAAAGCCCTTTCTTCTTTGCAGCCTATAACTCAGTAGAGTTCTAGCTTCCTTAGGTAACTCATCTAATTCAATTTCCACACTACACAGATTTTGCACCTCTATTCCACGGGTGGTAAAGCTGATTTCCTCTGACATCAAGACTATGTTCCCTTTGTAATGTAAATGAACCTAACTATAGTCTCTTTTCCATTACTCCATCTGTGTCTCTGATTTCCACACTGTCTTTCTGTGGCTTCAAATGAGCCCGGTATGTTTAGTATATACATACACATTTATTTACAGCATGTACAGTATACCAAATGATGCACTATAGGATAAAAAAATAGCGCCCCCCTTCAAAAAGGGTGGGGAAAGAGTGGCCAACATGTCCACTCAAGATCAAAAAAGTTAAAAAAATTATGGGGACAGGAGAGGAATACATGACCACACTCAAAAAAGTTTGCAACAGGATGTAATCCAAGTAACTGACCAATAATCGTTGTCTAAGGCTACAAATGTAGCTATGCTACACTTGGCAATCTCTCATTGGTCATCCATGTTTTAGCACCTAGTATGAATCTGACAAGGTGATAAGAGAATTCAGTTGCAGGCAGAAAGTCTGAATACTGCTTCAGACACATCAGCTGGGAAGGTCAGGTAGGAGAAAGACCCCACCACCAACAGAGGGGGTCCCCTGCCCCCCCTGCCCATCCTTAAGCTAGTCACAGAACCCATGGAAACCCACTTCTATCCTCAGGAACATTCTGCCCCACTTCCCTTTCCAGGCTACCACCACTCAATGAGATGATATTTGTAAAGCACTTAACACAGCGCCTGGCATATAATAGGCACTTAATAAATACTTATTCCCTTTCTCTTTTGATGAGACTGAGGACCAGGCCTTACCATCTGCCCTGCCCCTACAGCCTGTAGTCCCTGGACAATGTCATGGACCTGTTTTTGTAACCTAAGGACCTCTTGGCCTTGTCACTGAACCTTTAGGACTTTCAGGTCTTTCCAGCTACCCAGCAGCTGAACTTTCTTTTATGTGCTATTTCCCTGAAGTAAGAGTGTGAGCTCCTTGAAAGCAGAGACTCCTTTGCCTTTTCTATTGGTATCCCCAGTGCTTAGCACACAGTCAAGTTTTTGTATTCATTCAAGTCCCTTAACCTCAGCCTCAGTTTCCTGATCTGGAAATTGGGGATAATAATAGCACCCACCTCCTAGGATGGTTGTGAAGATCAAATGAAGTAATATACATAAAGCCCTTTGCAAACTTTAAAAGTGCTATATTAATGTTAGCCATTATTGCCCCCTGTCATCACTACTCTGTCATTTATTTTTAATCTCTCCCTGTCTACTGGCTCATCTCCTACTGCCTTATAAACATGCCCATGTCTCCCCCAACCTGAAAAAACACTCACTTGACCCTTTCCATCCCTGCTAACTATCGTCCTCTATTTCTTCTGCCCTTTGTCCATTTACAATAGGTGTCTCCACTTTTTCTCCTCTCACTCTCTTAACTCTTTATAATTTAACTTCTGACCTTATTCTACTGAAACTACTCTCTCCAAAGTTACTGATGATCTCTTAATTGCAAAATATAATGGACTTTTCTCAATCCTTATTTTCCTTGATCTCTCTGCAGCCTTTGACAGTACTGATCATTCTCTCTCTTCTCTCAAGGTTTTCATGACTGTCTCTCCTGGTTCTTGATCTTTCTCTGTCTCTTTTGCTGGTTCTTTATCCAGATCATGCCCTCTCTCTGTAGATGTCTCACTGGGTTCTGTCCTGGGTCCTCTTTTCCCTCTATACTACTTCACTTGGTCATCCCATCAGCTCCCACTGATTCAATTACCACCTCTATACTGATAATTCTCAAATCTACCCATCCTGCTCTAATCTCTCTGCTGACCTTGAATCGTGTATCTCCAAATGTCTTTCAGACACTTTAAACTGTACATCCAGTAGACATCTTAAACTCATTATATCCAAACAACTCATTATCTTTCCCCCATTCCACCTTTCCTAATCCTCTCCCCCATTCTACCTTCCCTATTTCTGTAGAGGGCAAAACATCCTCCCACTCCCTCAGGATCACAACCTGGAAGTCATCCTGGACTCCTCATCTTCTCCATCTACATCCAAGCTGTTGCCAGGGTCTGTTGATTTCACTTCTGCACGATCTCTCTTGTACACGGCCCCTTCTCTCCTCTGACATTGCCCCTACTCTAGTGCAGCCCTTACCACCTCACACCTGGACTACTGCCATAGCCTGCTGGTGGGTCTGCCTGCTTCAAGTCTATCCCCACTCCAATCCATCCTCTATTCAGTCATTAAAGTGGTTTTCCTAAAGTGCAGGTTCAATTAATGTCACTCTACTCAGAATTCCTGTGGCTTCCTAGTGCCTCTAGAATCAAATACAAAATGCTGTTTGGCATTCAAAGCCCTCCATAACCCAGCCCCCTCCTACCTTTCCCATCTTCTTATACCTTACTCCCCAACATGTGCCCTTTGACTCAGTGACACTGACCTTCTGGCTATATCATAAACAAGACATTCCATCTCTTGGTTCTGGGCATTTTCTTTGACTGTCCTCCATGCCTGGAGAATCCTGCCTCCTTGGCTCTGACCACTGACCTCTAGGGCTTCCTTTAAGTCCCAGCTAAAATCTCATCTTCTACAGGAAGCCTTCCCCAACCCCTCTTATTTCCTATACCTTCCCTGTTAATTATCTATTTGTCCTGTATATACTTTCTTTATACATATTTGTTTGCAAATTACCTCCCATTAGATTATAAGCTCCTTGAGGGCACAGACTGTTTTTTGCCTCTTTTTGCTGTTCAGTTGTTTCAGTCATGTCCCCATTCTTCGGACCCCCATTTGGGGTTTTCTTGGCAAAAATACTAGAGTGGTTTGCCATTTCCTTCTCCAGCTCATTTTACAGATAAGGAAACTGAGGCAAACAGGGGTTAAGTGACTTGCCTAGGATCACACAGTTAGTGTCTGAGGTCAAATCTGAACACAAGTCTTCTTGACTCCAGGCCTGACCTCTATCCACTGCACCACCTAGCTGGCATCAAATTTTACATATATATCTGCATCACACACATAAACACAATTTTATATATTATGAATTATATAACCAGATATTATATAAATAACGTTATATATGCATGTTTGTATTGTTGTTCCAGTTGTGTCCAACTCTTTGGGATGCCATTTGGGGTTTTCTTGGCAAAGGGTTTGCTATTTCCTTCTCCAGCTCATTTTACAGATATGGAAACTCAGGCAAACAGGGTTAAGTGACTTTCCTACGGTCACACAGCTAGTTAGTGTCTAAGGCCAGATCTGAACTCAGAAAGATGAGTCTTCCTCACTTCAGGCCCAGCACTCTATCCACTTTGCCATTTAGCTGCCCTATGCCGGGCACACAGTAGGCACTTAAAAAATGTTTACTGATTATCACTAGAAGTAAGAAGTTTGAAAACAGTGGTCTAGAACTTAAGGGGATCAGAGTGCGGACAAATCCTAGGAAGAAATATGTGTAGTGGCAACAGAATATGAAGGCAGACAGTCTTCTTTCCAGGAGCAAACTAGGCATCATGGCAGCAGGTCTGAATCCATGAGAACTAGAGCACTGAAATTGGTAAAAGATCCCCAAAGGGGAAACAATGTGCTTAGGGGCACACACCTACATTAGGGCCCTCTACTCCACTACTAGTTAGCTGTGTAACCTTAGGTAAATTACGTACCATCACATTGACTTTCCTTTTGCCTTCACGCAACAACCTTTCCTCCTTCTCAAGTCTCCTCAATCAAAATTTTCCACACAACCCATATTAAATGGCACAGTGGCTAGAGACCTGGGCTGAGAGTCTAGAAGACCTACCCAAGTTCAAATCCTGCCTCAGATGCATCGTGCTTGTGTAACCCTGGCCAACAAATGTCACCTCATTTGCCTCTTTTTGCTGTTCAGGCCCCTCATCTGTAAAACGGGGATAATAACAGCACCTACCTCCCAAGGTTATTGTGAAGAAATGAGATGTGTAAAGCACTTTGAAAACCTTAAAACGCTAGCTGTTACAGGGGCTGTCATATATCTATCTCCAGGTCATTCTCCACTTCCCTTATTAGAAATTCTGACATTTCCTTTTTGACCATAACTTCCTATCATTCTGCCTCACCTTCCTTGATCTTAACCCTAGATTACTCCCACCATCCCCCTCCTATGCATGAGCCACTAAATGCAACTAGAGGAAATCTCACAACTGTTCTGACTACCATACTTTAAAAATTCATGTTAGCCAAAAACTTCCAACTGGGCCCTCACTACAGCAAGGCAGTCCTTTATTCCCCCAGCTGACTCCCCATCTCACTCCCCACAGAAGTTGTATCAAGCCTCTTTCCTTATCAAGCCCCTAAGTCTTCCCTCCCTAGCAGGTGAGGACCTTGCCTCTTACTTTACTGAGAAACCTGAGACCATTCAACATGAGCTCCCTGTTCTCCTATTCTCTTTATCTCAAAACCTCTTGACATCACTTCCCACTCTCTCCTTCTTGCCAACACTCTGCGTGTGCTCTTGACCCCACCCCTTCCCATTTTCTCCAGCAGATTACAACCTTAATCATTCCCTGTTTCTCTTTCTCAAATCTTCAGCCTTTCAGTCTTTATTCTTCTTGGCCTCTCTGCTATATTTGACACTGTTGCCCACCCTTTCCTCTTGGATACCCTCTCCTCTGGGGTTTTTTGAAATCCTTTCTCGTGGTTCTCTTTCTACCTCGTGGTCTGCTTTCTCCTACTTTCTTTTGCTAGGTCATCATCCATTTTCAGCCCCTTAACTATGGATGTTCCCTAAGATTCTGTCTTAGGCCCGCTTCTCTTCTCCTTCGAAATGCTTTCAACTTATATGGCTTTGATTCTTCTCCACACACACACGCACGCACGCACGCACGCACGCACACGCACACACCCCTTAGCTTAGGCCTGCATTGCCTCTTGCCTAGGTTACTGAAATACCCTCCAAACTGGGCTCAGTACCTCCAGCCTCTCCCCACTCTGGTCCATCCTATACTACTGCCATCAAAGTAATTTTCCTTAAGCACAGATATGATCATGTGACTCCTCTACTCAAGTCAGTTCCAGTGGATTCCTATTGCTTCTGGGATAAAATATACTCTTCTGTTTAGTTTTTAAAGTTCTATACATCCTGGTCTATCTTTCCCACCCTATTGGACATCATTCCCTCTTATGCACTTTGAAATCCACACAAACTGGCCTTCTATTTTTGTCACATGACACTCCCTCTTCTCAGTGACTTTGCACTACCCATCCCACACTTCCGAAATGTACTTTTTTCCTTCCCTCTACCTCTTAGAATTCCCCTTTTTGGGGGGGGGGTGAGGCAATTGGGGTTAAGTGACTTGCCCAGAGTCATACAGTTAGTCAATGTTACGTGTCTGAGATTGGATTTGAACTTAGGTCCTCCTGACTCCAGGGCTGGTGCTCTATCCACTGCACCACCTAGCCACCCCAATCCCTTTCCTTCTTTAAGCTCAAGTGAGATCTTCTGCATGAGGCCTCTACTAATCTGCCCCTCCCCAAATGCTAGTACTACCCTCCCTCCCAAATTACCTTATATTTAAATATTCACTTTATTAGTATACTGAATATATTTATATACGTACCTGTTATCTCCAACTTTGTGAGAAGGGATTGTTTCATTCTTTATACTTTGTACCCTATTGCCTAGTACAGTAAGTGATTAATAAATACTTATTGATTACCTATCCCTTCCCCTTGCCACCCTCAACCATAGTACCTCTCAAAACAACTGTTCTTATCAATCTTCAAGGCGCAAAGGCTCTCTGGGGCCCCCAATTTCCCTGTGAGTAGTCTCCCTGACAAGTCTCCTCTGAAGTGATAGTTCAAATAATAGCTGTTGTCTCTACCATTCTTCTCAGTCTGGATTTCCCCAGGCCCTTACCTGAAGCAGCCTCATGTTCAAGGTGAAGTCCCCTCCCAATAACTGCTCCCGGATCAATCTAAAGAAAACAAGTCCCAACACAACTTGAACCTTCAAATTTCAACAAAGGAACCCATAGACTATAGACATCTATCACTTAGAAGCCAAGACATGGTCCAGGTGTCCCTGAGAAAGGATCCTGCCTGACCAATAATCTCTTTCCTCCCACCACCAAGAAGGTGTTTCGTGGAATGCTCTCCCAAACAATCCCAACATCAAATCAGCGAGAATGTTTTCTCTACTCAAAAAACCCATTCTGGCTAAATAAGAGAGTTCTTTATTTCTTCTTCTGGCATTCCTCCCAATCCCACCCCATGGACTCCCCTAGACTACCCAGCTGAGGGAGGGCATTTTCCTGATTCACATGAGACTCACACCAACATGGCGCAGCAGACGAGGAGGAGGAAGTCAAATCGGTTGTCATCAGCAAAGAGGGTATCCCAGATGCGGATGACATCAGGAAGCAGGAACTCCTGGGACAGTAACAGTGTCAGCCATCGGAAAGCAAAGAACTGTGGTTTGATGTTTTGCTCTTGCTGTGGGTTAGGTGAAGGCAATCTGGGATTAGGATAGAAATCTCTGGGCAACGGATTCTTCCAATGTCCTTTCCCTTAAGAGTTTGTTTTAACTAGATCTCAACTGATTATCCATTTGCAAGTCATATTTTAAATTATCAGTTCTCTGAACATACCTCCTATCAGGACTGCTGCTGGGCTTGACAGGAAGTCAGCTAGTCAACAAACATATATTAAGTACTTAGTATATGAAAGGCACAATCCTAAGCATTGGCAACACAAAGAAAGGGGAAAATACGGTCCTCAACCTCAAGGAGCTCATACTGTACTGGGGCAGACAGCAGGCAAAAAGTTATCTACGTACAAGGTATGTGCAGGGTAGATGGAAAGTAATTCCAGAGGGAAGGATGGAGGTGGGGAGGGGATGGGGGTAAGAAGAAAGAAAAGGAGGAAGAGGGACAGAGGAATGAAAAGGCCTCCTGAAGGTGGGATTTCAGCCGAGTTTCAAAGGAAGCCAGAAGGTACTGATAAGGCAAAAGAGCATTCCAGGCATGGGGAGCAACCAGTAAAAAAGCTGAAAGTTGAGAGATTAACTGTTATGTGTAAAAAATAGCAAGAAAGCCAATGTCACTAGATTATGGAATATTTGGAGGGGAATAAAGTGTAAGAAGACTGATAGGAAGAAAAATAAGGTAGAAGGAAAGGCAGGAAAGAGCCAGGTTGTGAAGGGTTGAAAATGCCAGACGGTTTCATATTTCTTCCTGGAGGCAATCAGGAACCACTAGAATTTATTGAGTAGAGGGTAAAATGATCAGACTTGCACTTTAGGAGACTCACTTTGGCAGCTAAGTGAAGGATGAATTGAAGTTAGGAGAGACTTCATGTGGAAAATCAACCAGAAGCTCTAAAATTCCAAGTTCTCCCTCAATCACCAGCTACTTATAGAACAAGACTGATAATCAGAGGAACAGGATTAAATGGTCCCTGAGGGCCTTCCTCACCAGCTTCAAGTAGAGCTCCACATCCTTTTCCTTCAGGGTGGAGTACACCTTTTCCATCTTGTAGGTGATGCCGCACTGAGAGTCATCCAGGCTCTTGATGAAGTTGTCCCGGATCTCAGACATCAGGTTGGTGAAGCAGAAAAATGTGTCTGCCTCAGCGTGTTCTGGAAGAGACCCGAGGGGCTGGGGCTGGGGACTTCAACCGGCACAGAGAAAGAGCAAGGAAGCGTTATACTTCTTCCCCACCACACTCCTCCGGTTGGGCTGGGGCACCCACCTACAATCCTTTCCTCTTCCTCGGCTCTGCCGAGACAAAGCTTACCTGTCCTTTGGGGCCTCACTTAAATCCTTTCTCTGTGAAACCTTTCTTGACCAGTCCAGACCACAGGGATCCAACACTCCTCTACATGCCTAGCCATGTCCTAAAATGTGCATAAGGAAATGACTGTATACTGCCTAACTTCTTTAACTGTATGTGGGTGGTTCTTCTTGGTGAGTTTTTAAGACTACTATTCTCATTTAAATCTTTCACATATAGATTTTCTCTCCCTTAAACTAACCCCTATGAAGGTAGAGACTTTGTTTCTCTCTTTGCATTCTTTACTTTACCTATTGTAGTGTCCTAAACACAACAATAATAATAGTACCTTACATTAGTATAGCACTTTGAGATTTTCAAAGCAATTTTGCAAATATGAAGTTCTTTGTACTACTCTTAGGGACTAATTGGTATGACATTGATTTGTCAAGTAAGCTATAGCACAGACTTTATTTATACTTCTATCCCCCAGAGTAGACTTCTCATCAATGTTTGCTGAATGTTTACATTTTATCTCCCTTGATCTTTATAATACTTCAATAGAGTCAGCACTGATTAGGCATCTACTATGTACAACAGCCCTGGGAGGCAAACGGGGCAGGAATTGCTGAGAGTGTAAGAAAAAGAGCACTGGACCAGGGCTCTTGCCCCAGCTCAGCCATCAGTAATGAGCCACAGGACTGGAGAAAGGTCATTTATCTCTCCGATCTTTAGGCCCTGATCAGCATAATAAGGGAGGTGAACCCAGTGGTTTGAGATCTCTTCCAATAACAACTTTTGGATTCCTATATAACAGAGGAAGAAACTGAGAGACAGCAGTTATAGTTACTGGAAAAGCCAGGCTTAGAATCCAAGACCTCCTGGCTCTTAGGTCTAATGCTCTTTCTACTACACAATGATGCCTTCCCATAATGTTTCCTGATTTCTTCACTTGATTTGATTTCCCCATTCCTCTGAGAGAGAAGGAAATTGGGTAAGTGGGGGTCCTAGAGGCAGAAGCAGGAACTTGGTGGTGATGGGTCATCCTTAAGTCTCTCACCTTTCCATTCACTATTGGGATCCGTGGCAAAAGTGTAGTAGAGAGGCCCCACGATTTCATTCATACCCTGGACGTAAGCAATGCCTGGGTTCAGCTTCGCATAGATGAACAGAATTCGCTCCACCACCTCCCAATGGGCTTCACAACCATTGGGCAGCACTTGATACTCACTAAGTGAATTTGGGGCTGGGCTCTTATGAGGTGAGCTCATCTGCAGGGAAAGGAACTACATTAAAGAAAACCCTCTGGAACCATAAGTCCTATTCTCCAATCAAGGGAAGGCCTGCTGTGTCTGCTAGAAGTATGTCTGGTTTAGAGCAGAGGTGTCAAACAGGCAGCCTGAGCCACATGAGACTGAAGGCCACGCTGCCCAGTATGGTCCAAATGAGATTAAAATATAATTAGGGAATACCTGACAAAATAAATAAAAATACAATAAAGCACAGATAAAGTTACATTTTAGAATTAAGTCAATTGGCCCCCGAAGGGATCCTAATGTATGGATTAACAGCCCCGTATCTATTTGATTTTGACACCACTGCAAAGATTCTGCATTGCATTGAGAGAAGGTGAGAAAAGTTCACTGCAAGAAGGTAGAGGAAAAAGTACTATTTTAATCAAATATTACATTAGTTTCTCTATTAATTCTGTGTCTCATAAGGCTCAAAGGCTATGAGGAATAGAAGCTGAGTTGACACCCAGTGACAAGAAGGGATTCCTCAGATAACTATCAAGAGATCTCTGAATGCAAAACCAACTTTCCTGCCACCAGACAACAAGCAGCCAAAGACAAAGGGCATTCAAAAGGTTAAGTTTACAAGGTTATTTCCTAGTATACTTCCTTTAGTGAAATACTTTTCTGTGTCAAACAATATTTTGCTAGACATCTGTGGCACCATTGTAATGGAGATCAGCTGGAACTTTCTAAAACTTGGCATAAGTCTATTAAAAATGTCTGAACGTTTCTTTTTTGTACCAAATGCTCTTGTTCGTATATATGAATACCTGTAAATGCCAATGGTTGTCAAAATAAAGTTTTGTACGTATGTATGTATGTATGTATGTATGTATGTATGTGTACACACACACACACACACACACACACACAAAGTGCTGTTCTCCCAGTTGGCTGCCAGAAAAAATGTGGCCTATGATTTGATTTTTAAAGTTAAAAAAAAAAATTCCACTGCAGAAATTCAACACTAACTTATTAATGCTTACAAAGAGAATGTTTTCACTCACAACAGGAAGTATATCAAGAATGACATGCATAGATTTGGGAAAGAAGATAGAGACCCAGTGTTACTATATTAAAAAAAATACAGGACCAGCAAACTCTAGATCTTACCTATTTCACAAAGTGTGCCCCATACTACAAAAAAATGTTTTAATATGCTGGGACATCATACAGAACGGTCAGCACTAAGTTGTTCCTTAAGCCCCTGAAATACTCGCTTGCAATAGAAGCAGTTTTTCAAAAACATACTGTAAACTTACCTTGTGAACAGCCATGATGGCTCTGAACCGCTTAAGAACAATCACTAAGAGCAAAAGTGGGCTACCCCAAACAACCTGGAATGGCTACCGCCCTGTGGGCAGCAACAGTAAGGAGGCAGTCAGAAAAAGGAATGGCTTGATGAAGACTCACATTGGTGACCCCACTCCGGTTTTTTGCCACGGTCTGTGATTTCAGTGTCGTCTGCTCCACCCGCTTTCGAAGGGTTTCAAATTCATTCTGAGGGTCCAGGATGAGGAGGCATGGGTAATCTGTAGGCCTCTGGAAAAAGGATATGTCTGGGCACAGCCTCCTGAAGCAGGAGAGAAGAGGACAGCAACACCAATAAATCTTTGCCAAATGAACAAAACTGAGACAGTGAAAAGGAACTGACATCAACCCAGGTATGCCAAGTCCTAGCACCACAGACAATCGGCTTCCAGGATCCCTCTTCAACTCTATCACCGGTATAGTCTGATTTTCAGCTTCCCTGTATATAACTCCACAAATTGCTCTTCGGGCCTCCTTACCACAGGCCTGCTGGGGAAGAAGGGAAGAAAACAACAATGTGCAAAACAACCACAAAGAACTCCAAAGTGGCCTGAGTGCCTCATCTTGGTCTCCTCCCACTTCCTCGGCCTGGCTGGCTCCACACTCACCGGACATCTTTGTCTATTTGCAGTAACACCTCATTGTCCTTGAAGTAAGTGTTCCACCGACTATCAGGGTTCGGATTAAGTGGCTGGGTAGAGAGAAAAGGTGGGATCAGTAGCCTCATCTCAAACAAGAACAGTCCAGAGTCAAGGACATTTGTTAAGCTCAGTTCTTAGGACTGTAAAGGGATCCTCCCTCCCAGACCAGGAAGGGGGAAAAAAATTATAGCTAGACTTGTCATCTATAACCCTGAATGTGGTCAGCCTTGGAAAATTCAATGTTCATAACTATGCAGATAGAAGGAGGGGGATCACTGACCACTGCCAAGAGATTAGCCCAAACTCTTTAGTCTAGCATTCAAGCCCCTCCCAACTTGGCCAAAGGCTATTTTCCCACCCACTCTCCCTACAGCTACTCTCCCATATGAACCAGTTTCAGACAGATTTTTTTCATTGTCCTCCAAATATATTATGGGCCTTCCCACTTGGGATACTTTCTTTTCTCTGATTAAGTCCTTCAAGGCCCAGGTCAAAGAGCACCTTTCTGTACAATTTTTTATCCCATGGTGAGCCCTTCCTCCTCTGAGCTTCCACAGCACAGTTAAGCTCTTATTTGGGACTTATTTGGGACTAGCAATGCAAGGAAGGCATCATCTTGTTTTGTTTGCTTCAGCTGGACTGTAAACTGTGGCTTATATTTCTTTTGCATCCCCTACAGCAACTAGCAATCTCTAGCATGTAGAGATCCTCAATGAATGTGTGTTTGCTTGATGCCTCCCCTAGCCTGAAAAAGCAGGTCATTGCATTCCAGCTCTTGCCCTTCTCTACATTTGAGGAAAGGGCAAGAGAGGAAGTATCTCCTGATTTAGCAAGGTCCTGGAAGTGATGGGGTTGGGATCTGGGCCCCAGAAAGGAAAAGCCCTGGACTTTCTCACATGGCCAAATCTCTGGCTTTCCCCTGAGGCTATAATCCCATCAACTGGCCTTTCATTGTGGACCTCCCTATGGCCCCAGGCCATTTCTCCATTCTCCCTTGGCCACATGGTCCAGGTCCCTGGAATTCTATTATCTCATAGACTACTTGGCCACTCCTAAATCCCTCCCATAGTCTTTTGGTATATAAGGTCCATCTTGTCTCCATTAAGAGGCTCTGATTCTTAAAATCTAGCCACTGCTTAGATTCTTAAAATCTAGTCACTACTTAGATTCTTATAATCTAGCCAATGCTTAGATTCTTAAAATCTGGCCACTGCTTACTCATGTTCAGACTCCTTAAGAGTCTGCCTAATATGATGGATGTTCTAATAAACCTTGTCTTTGGCTGAAAGAAGGCTTGGGTGAAATTCTTTCGGGCAGGACCCTCGTGTTGTGATTTTGGAGTCCCAGCACCCCTGAACCCCTAAACCGCACCAGGGCAGTGGGACAATAGGTACCCTCAGAAGCCATTCAGTTAAAGGCTGTGTTGGACCATCAGAGTAGGAATGGGAAGGCAGAGGAAGGGAGCTAAGCAAAACCACACCCAGGTACCACACCCAGAGGCAGAAGGTGGGGGTGAGGGTGATAAAGAAGGACATAAGGGATTTCTGAAACCAGAGAGGAATCTCTCTTGGCTCTAAGTATCTGCCACCCCTAACATGCACCTCTTCAATTTCTTTAATTAAATAAGCAGTTGGACCCTGGCACTCACATGGTCTTCAAAAGTAACATCCTCTCTAGATACCCCCAGGTTAGCTTTGGCTATGCCAGGCTGAATGATCATTTCTCTCAGGAACTGGGAATACAGCTCTCTGTCAAGAGGAAAAGGAGATGGGTGAGTAGCACAAAGGAAAAGGCTGGCTCCTTCTTTACACATACAGACACAGCCACACAGACACACAGCCACACACACACCCCCCTTGGCCAGAGCTCTTGATTAATTCAACATAAAGAGAATGTGGTCTGGCTTTCTTCAGCTGACACTAACCCCCACTTCTCCTGGGGAAAAAAAACTGCAATTACACTGAGGATAAATCATTCCCGTTGCAAGCTCACCTCTGCTTGGCCAGGATGGATGTCCATGAGGCCCTCTCCAAGGGGAGGTAGTTCAAAAGAATCTGCACAAAGGGAAAAGATTGAGGTTCTAGTATTCTGCACTGACAGCAGCCCTGGGGAAGAAATGCTGGGAGATTTCTGATAGGAACAAGCTCAGAGATCGTATCCTTAGGAATGTGGGGATGAGATCACCCTTTACTCTTTACTCAGTGGCTTCTCTCCTCCTGCCATACCCCAAAAGTCATCCCTCATCCTTGCTCTTCTGCTATGTCTTCTAAACTATAACATGAGCCCTTGTTTAGAAGATCCTCTGTTGAGCTATAGGGAAGCTGAAAGACAGAAAATCTGTTTTTTCCTTCTGGCTTGGGACAGAGCCATTAGGCAAAGCCAGGACTTTTTAAACTCCATGCATATCACCTCCCCATATCCCATGGGTGAGTAGGCTCAAGGACATTTGAAGAAGATTTAAGAAGAAGATTGAAGAAGAGTTAAATTAAGGTTGGGGTTATTTTTTGATTGCTGAAAGGGATCACCTGTTCTAAAAAGTATCAAGAAAATGTTTACTCTGTAACCTTTTATGAATAAGTTTGTTGTGAGAGGGCAGATAACAGGCCCCCAAAGGGCTCCTGGAGAGAGTATCAAGGAGGAATAACCACCAGCAAAAGCTTCCCAGCCAGTAGTAGAGAGCTAGAGGAGGGCTACCCCATGCAGAAGCTCATGTACTCACAGAGGGAGCTAAAGCCAAGCCCCCAGGAACACCCACCTTCCAGCAAAGGCAGCGCAGTCCACCCTCACAAGGGATCCCTGTAGAACACATCAGGCAAAGGTCACTCACTTGGGACAGAGCCTTGAGAACACTGACTGCACATAGGGGACTAGGTTTAAACTCGTGGTGGCAGCGATGGTATAAGATATAATGCCAAAGGTTTAACTTATCCCTTAGGGATCACTAAGACAGGACCTTGCATACACACCAGAAGCAGCTAGGAGTTTCTGCTTCCAGAAAGGCATTTCTCTGTACCCTGGCAAAGCCAGGTACTGACCTCATTTATTCCAGTGGCAAAGAAAGATTTGATCAAGCACAGTGCTCAGGGAAAAAAAGATATTCTTGTTCCAAATCACAAACAATCAATGAACATTCTGAATCTTCAATTTTCTCCTCTGAGGATAGGTCCCAGAATTTCAATGGGGCACGTCTAACTATGGACTCCTAAGGGAGGACCTTCTTCCAACAAGTCAACAGATCCTCTGACTTAGCATAAAATTCACCCAAAACATCAGAGCCTGGAGCTCAGTCAAGGTGCTCTCTCTAAATTCTAGGAAATTAAATGTCTACATGCTTTAGCTTAACTTTTTGTAGACAGGAGGACAAATTTCTATCTTGATTCTGAAGGATTTCCATTTTACAGATGCATCAGTATATAAAGAAACTCAAATTGTAAATTAATTACCCAACATCTCAATTTAATTTGAGGGAAGAAAAGAGCCCTTATTCTGCACACCTTAAAAAGGTAAGAGAGAGGCAGCATAGCTTAGTGCAGAGGTATTAAACATATGCAGCCTGCAACATTTCTGAGTGTGGGATGAACCAGATTAATTGAGAAATATTTAACAAAATAAATAAAAACAAAAAACCCAAGGGGATCCTTGTATATGGTCTAGTGGCCCCATTTCTATTTTGAGTGTGACAGCACTGGCTTAGACAATAGACTTGGAGAAGACCCAGGTGAAGATCTCACCTTAGGTGCTACTTTCATTGGCAGATCACTTTAACTCTCTGGGATTTGGCTATCTGGGAGTAGTAATAAGAGCACCAATCTCACAAGGCAGTTGTGTGGATCAAACGAGATGACATTTGTAAATCACTGCACAAACCTTAAAGTACTATAAAAGTGAGCTATTGTACTATTTTATTAAGGAAGGAAACAAGTATTTATTAGGTACCTGCTATGTGCCAGACACTGTGCTAAGTGCTTTATACATATCTCATTTGATCTTCACCAACAACCATGGGAGGCATCTGCTCTTATGATCCCAATTTTACGGATGAAGAAACTGAGGCAGTCAGGGGTTAAGTGACTTGCTCGAGGTCACACAGCTATTAAGTGTCTGAGGATATCTGAGGCTAGATTTTAACTGACTCCAGGCCCAAGGCTCTACTTCTTCATCACCTAGTTACCCATATTATTTTAAAAAGAACAGATTTCTGGGGGATGAAATATGATAAAGAACCATTTCAGTCACTAATGATATTTTTTTAGTTTGTTTGTTTGGGTTTTTTTTGGCTAGGCAATGGGGTTAAGTGACTTGCCCAGGGTCACACAGCCAGTAAGTGTTATGTGTCTGAGGTCAAATTTGAACTCAGGTCCTCCTGAATCTAGGGCTGATGCTCTATCAATTGGGCCACCTAGCTGCCCCACTAATGATATTTTTTAAAAGCCAGGTAAAGAACAGATATCTTTGAGAGTACATAGAAAATCAAGTTAAACATTGATATAATCAGTGTTTCTTGGCTGGAATTTCACCACTAACCAAAGTTCAATATGATCTTGTTCAGTTTTGGAGTCAATCTTATGATTCTAAGGCATGAGGGAAAAAAAAGTGATTCTAGGACAAACCAGATTAAGGCATTTAAGAAGTCCACTAAATAGCTCCTAGAACAACAGTAGGCTTCTTTAAACCTAAAAAGTTCCCCAGAACAGCATGACTTCTAGATGGAAGAGCTCCCAGCTGAAAATGCTGTGATAGCTTCAGCAACTCTAAAGATTCGGGAGGGGACCTTTAATTCTGCTAACAATGGTAACCACTGTCATACTAGGTGTGGGTCTAAAAGCCCAAGTTCATCACAGTCACTAGCAACTCAGTTGCAAAGACGCTGGCAAATAGTTCTGAGGACTATTTCTAGAACTACCCTAGATCAGGCCAGGTTTGGGTATAAGACCCTTGTTCTTGCCTCTCTATTCCTAGGGAGTTCCCACTAACACAAAATTGCCTTACCACTGAAACTGAGTTCTCGAAGCTTCCCCAGGGCAATTTTGGGCTCCCTCAGGACATCCTGGAAATCTGCAATTCTAAAATAAAAAAATGCCACATTCAAAAGACCAATAAGTACCTTAGCTCTCCAGAGTAGGGACTTGTCTCCAGACTTCTCCATCCAGGGAGTTCATTCTCTTGACATTTGTACTCATTTTCTTTCAGAGCAACATAGCTCGGTCAACTGCTGCAGAGTTGTTTTCTCAAGAAAACTTTTGGGAGCTACTTTTTAGATATACTAACAATTTTTTTAAAACCCTTACTCGCCATTAAATTAATCCAAAATAAAAGAATCTCAGAGCTCAGGACTTCCCAGAGCATCTAGGCCAACCCTCTCATTATACACAGAAAGAAACTGACATTCAGAAAGGTAAAATGATTTTGCCCAAAATCACATACTAAACTGGTTAATTACAAGACAGTCTAGGACTTGGGCACCTTGATTCCCAGGCCTATGCTCTTTCTACTCCGCTATCATGTTTCACCTAAAATATGTTCACTTGTACCATAATTTCTGTTAAGTTACACCTACTCTTTCATTCAAATTTATTTTTGCAATCGAGCTGTGCCACAGGACAAGACAAGAAAAGCCAATAACAAATTTGAGGCATTTATCACTTCTGAGGGTGAGGCTGGGAACCAAGACATATGGTTTCTCCTTTCTTGCAAGACTTAGGACCGTGACCCTGGGATCTCTCAAGTTCTGAGATGATAGTTAAAAGCACCTCTGACTTGACAAGAGCTTTTCTGGAACACAGGGTTTCTCCTCCAAAGCTGCTACACTAATGGAAGGCAGCTTCCTGCCAACTAAGGAATCTGGGAAGACTCTGGTCTCTATTCTTCCCCTCACTCTCCCATGACTAAAGAGGCTGCAGAACAGAAAGCAGGGAATACCCTAGAAGTGGGACTTAGAGAACTAGGAAAAGAAAATGAGATGATACAGGGCAGATTCCTCAGAAAAGGAATCCCCGAGGACACAATGAGAAGTAATGACAACATGCAGAGAAAGCTGGATGAAAATGGGGGAAGGTGTAGCTAAAAGAAAGTGAGGATTCCCTACAAGAAATGGTAGGGATGGGTGGGGATGAGTAAGAGGTGATGGGGAATCAGGGAAGGGAAACGGGAGGATGAGGTAAGAAGATGGGAGAAAAGGGAAGGAAAATGACAGCAAAAGGAGCTGGGATGGAGGGCATGGAAGGAGGAAGAAAAGGAATGGAGGACAACAGGAGGGACAGAGCGAGGGATAGAGAAAGCAGAGACGGAGGAAGAGGATGGAAGGGGGACAAGAGGATGGCAGGGGAGGGAGGGAATAGGAAAAGGGGAAGGATAGAGACAGGGAAAGATGAGGGACAACAGTGGGGCGGTGGGGGAAGAAGGGAGAGGACGAGGCACCTGAGGAGGCACGGAGGGGAGGGCCCGGGGACAAGAGGGAGCAGAGCGCAGGACTTGTGGGGAACAGACGGAGGGGGGGACAAAGAGGTCCCTGGGAGAGGGTCCCCCGATCCCACCCGCACAGCGAGGCGCAGGATGGAAGGGAGTGTTATGGGATGAAGGAGAGGACGGCAGCTGGCCCGGCCCCCCGCGCTGTCTCCAGTCTGACCCCCCAGCCCCTAGGGCCCCCACACAGCTCACCGGCTCTGGTGCCGACTCGACATGTTGTTGACTTCCGGATTCGCCCCCCCACCTCCCCTCCGCCCCCTGCGACTGCCACGGAGCGCAGAAAAAAAGCCTCCGGCCGGAAGCGCTGACCGTACACCGCCGTTCCGGCCGGCCGCCCCGCCCCCGCAGCCCTCAGGCGCCCGGACTCTGGACCCCCTGCTGGCCTCGGTCCCAAACGGACTCCGCCTTCCGGGCCTCACCCACCCATCCCCTTTGCTCAGGGGCGGAGTCAGCTCCCCTTTGGGTCCGCCCCCTTCTCCTACCTGGCGGTCATCCTTTGTCCAGCCCCCGGAGGAGCCTCTGGGCCCTGACGCCTTATCCAGCCCTAGCCGCCGCCTCGCTGTGGCTCCCCTAGCGCCCCCTGGGGAGCACACGAGACCCCGAAGGTCCAGCCCGGCTAGAGCCAGAGCGGTCCGTTAAAGGGGTCTGCCTTCAGTAGGCACCTGATAAACGTTTGTTGAATGAAGGAAGGAAGGAAGGCATGGTTATTGGATCTGGACCAGAAACTGGGGCTCAGAAAGGGAAAATGACTCGCCAAAAGACTCACTGCAGATCCTTGGCAAAGAAGTGTGTAGAGGCCAGGATCCCGCGCAGGAGGAGGGCTCTTTCCACTATGGTTCACAAAGGAAGACTTCCACTTACCACTGTTCACTTTACCCACCACCATCGTTAGATATTGGTTGCGTGTGGGCAGGGCACAGAGGGAAGTAGGAAAGGCTGGATTTGGAGTCAGAGGACTCCAGTCCTGCTTCTGATACCTTGGCCAAGTCCCTTAAACCCTCGAGGGAAAGAAGGGGGCTGGACAGGCAAATCTCTAAGGTTCCTTCCAGCTCTAAATCTATGGGTTTGAGTCCTGCCTCTGCTATTTACAGCCTTTCTTCCAGCTCCAAATCCAGTTAGGTTTTCCATTACACCACGCTTCCCAAGTCCTCATTTTTCAGGCAAAGGAAACTGAAATCCAGAGAGGGGAAAGGTCAAGGAGGAAGGCTACCCGAGAGATCCAAATTCAGCTTAGGGAGGCTTGGATGAGGGAATCAGGAGACTTTTGAGCACATTTCCCGGGTTAGACAGCTAGGTGGCACAGTGGCTAAAGCTACTGGACCTCGACTCAAGATACGTCTGAGTTCAAATTCAGCTTAGACACTACCTGTGTGACCTTCGGCTAGGTCACTTAACCCCGACTGCCTCCGTTTCTTCATCTGTAAAATGGGGGTAATAAATCACCTACCTCCCAAGGTTGTAGTGAGGATAAAATGAATTGCAAAGTGGTTTTGAGCGCTATATCAGTTACAAATAAATACTTTTATTTTTGCACTGGAGGGTGGAAGAAGGCTTTGTCTGGGTGGAGCCTCTGTGGCTGCCTTCTTTCATAGTCTTTGTTCTATCCAGAGAGGCCCCAGTCCGGGCTCTCCTCCCCACTTCCAGCAATTGTGGTGCAGAGGGAAGGGAGCACTTGATTTTAGAGAAAGTCCTGGCTTGGAAAGGATGAGGAGTGGGGTCGAATATGTCTGGCCATTAACTGGAACAAAGAGGCTAGAAGAGGTGGGGGGGTAGGGGGAAAGAGTGGCCGCGAGAAATGTGGCGAAGAGAGTTAAAAAGCGGGAGAGCCAGTAAAAGAAGCTGCCCTCCATCGACAGCAGAACCGTCCCTCGGCTCCCACCGTTCCCCGCCGGACTTCGGAGCAAGGGAACCCGTTCGTGGTTGCTAAGGGGCGGCCCCGGAAGTGACGGACTCCGGGTTTGTTGACAGCGGCGGTGGCGGCGGCGGCGGCGGCGTCTGAGCTTGAGACGGAGGGACCGAGAGGTGGACGGAAGAGCTGGGATCGGATCCGGGAGGACGGGCTCGGGGCCCGGAGCCCAGAGCCAGCAGCGGGCGGGCGGGCCGGCTTTCGCCCCGCCCCAGCACCGAGGGGACAGACGCGCCGCCGACAGCCGGGAGAAGGTGAGTGCGGGATCCCCCCCGCCTGCCTCGGCTCTTTGGGTTCCGAGATCCACTGGGTCCTGCCTCCCCCGCCTCTAGTGGATCCTGGGAAACACCAGGCCATGCGCCGGGACAACCTCGCTCTCCCCTTCCCTAAGCGCCGGCCGTATCCAATAAGTCCAGTAGGGTCCTTAGTCTGGGACGCACTAGATTTTTCTCTCCCCCCCATCCCTCGTGCGCCCACCGGATCTAGTGGATTCCCTGCCTCCTGGTGCAAGACTTGCTGCTTCCCCCGCTATCCCTATTGGATCTTAGAGCCGCCATCCTCAGTCCGTTCCTCAATCCCCAGGTCCGATCCCTCATCCCTCTTGCCTCCCTCTGCCTTCTACTCCAGGCTGCTAAGGAAGCCACTCCAGGACGACTCCTCCCCACCTCCGCACCGACTTTCTCCCAGGGTCAGCTCCACCCAAGGTAGAAATCCCTCCTCACCATGGTTCCCCGGCTCCCCCCCCCCCCCCCCACACACGTCCCCACCCCCTCGGTGCAAAATTTCTTCTCCAGAATTTCCCGTCGTCTCTATTTTCTCCACATTCCCACCTACCTAGTGGAATGGGACTGGAAAGGGCTGCATCCTTTTGTCCATAAAGACTGGGATAGGAATGCCACTTCACTTTAGAATTGGCTGTGAAATCTTGCCTGGCCTTCACCCTCCCACCTCCACCCCCAATGAAATGGCTAAATGGGATATTGCTAGTATATTTGTGCCGTATTGTAATTTAAAAGTTAGAACTTTTATCTTTTCTTCACTCTAGACAGAATTATGGATGATGGTTTAAACTCTTTCCCTTTACCCCGACCCATGTGATGCTAAGCCTCCAAAGTCAAAAGTTATAGGTGTCCTAATAAAAGCTGCTTCTAAGTAATGTAATATATATGGCAAAGGGAACCCCATCACTTCGAGTTGTTAGAGCTTGTAGTAGCCAGAGAAGTAGATTAACTTAAAATGAAACCAGTCTAGCATTCCAACTCTTGAAAGAAAACTTGCAATAACGATCTACTCAGTCTCAAAAATTCACTGAGGCTTTGTGGGTGGAGCCTGATCTGGGGATTATCTGTTTCTTATTCTTTGGGTTTGTGCCTCTGATTCCTTGGAATAGGGGAGTGGGGATTGCCTTAGACTTGCCACTAATCTCACCAGAAACATTTCAATTCAGGTAAAATTTGGTAAAAACAAAACAGAAACCAAATATCAAAAATAGCCTTGGAAAAGAAATGAAGTCGCAAGCACAACCTAAATTTTAAAGCATGTGTGTCGGTGGAGCAATTATACCCCCTTTTTGTCTTGGTAAAGGGAATAGGTTGGGACTGGGCAGAGGGAAGAAATATGGACTGATTGTAAAGGTACCAGCCTTGTGTCTTTTTTAGCTATGGTAGAGCCACCTCCTTTCCTCAGTTCCACGCCCCACCCCCCCACACTCTCCTATATTGCGCTGCTGTGTTGAATTAAGGGCTGGGGCAGGAGCAAGATTCATGGTACAGTGGATAGGTTAATGAACCTGGAGTCAGAAAGATTTGAGTTTGAATTTTGTCCCAGATACTTACTAGCTGGACAATTCTAGGCAGGTCACTTAACTCTTTAAGCCTCAGTTTCCTCATATGTAAATGGGGATAATAATAGCACCTACGTTACAGAGTTGTTGTGAGGATCAGCTGAGATAATATTTGTAAAGGGCTGCACACTTTAAAATACTATATATTAGCCATTATTGTACAACCTGAATGTACAATAGGTAGGTAAATAAATTCTAAAACGAATGACCTTTGAGATGGGCTTGAAAGATCAGTGGTCATCAAATCCAAGGAGCACTGGGTCACCTCCTTCAGGTTACTGACCATAAGGTATTAAGTTTTCCAAACTGAGATTTTTGCATCATGGCTTAAATATGTATCTCCTCCTTGAGTTCCCAATCCCCCAAACCTACTGTATAATACAGGACCATGTGGAGTTTTCAAAGCATTTTTACATTTCATTAGAACCTCACAATAATCCTTTGATGTAGTCAAGGCATGGATTATTATTCTTTATTTATACTTGGGAATCTGAGGTTGACTATGCAGTCATTTTAATAGTGAGCTAGGGCTAGAATCCAGCTGTCTCTCTTACAGTGTCAGATCTCAGAAGTGGTTATATCAGTGTCTTCTCCAAACTCAGAGATTGTCTTTGCCGGGACTCTCACCTGTTGTCTTACCTGGTTCAATACGAGAAAGCAGGGAGCACACAAAACCTTTCAAGACCGTTGATTGTCCACCTAGGCTGGGTGCTAGCCTTCTATATGTGGTTCATTTACATCGCTCTCAATAATAATATAGATGGATATTGGCCTAGGACTTTATAGCTTCAAGTCTCATCTACCCACAACTGGCTAATCAGAATGGATTTATCAAACAGTTATTTTATTCAAGGCATTGTACAACGAGCTATTGGAGAGATACAAATGAATGCCTTCTAGGAATTTATAGCCTAACTGAAAAGATGAGATAAATTAATAATATAACACAGTCTGTGTTAAGTGCCAAAAAAATGAAATGGACAATAAGTGGTGTAGGGATTCAGAGGAAGCCAAGAGAGGCCTGTTGTCCAGAAAGAAGAAAATGAGACCCACGTAGAAGGTTCCTGTTGTTGCCTATATTTGATGACAAAAGAGTAGCACAGCCAAGAATGGACCCTAGGCATTCTGAATCCCATTCTGGTATAGTACATTCCAGCCTTTACTTCCTTTGGGTTGTGCCAACAGCCACATGCTAATGTTCCCCTCCTTTTCTCCTTGATTTCTACCCTAATATCCCAACATTTCTTTCAAGTCATTCTCAGTTCTAAATCTTAACGTCATGGGTTTAGTCATTCTCATTTCATCTCATTCTCATTTCGTCTCTTCATTTCTAGTATGATGACCAGGCCAAAGTGTTCTCTAACTCCTGGGAGTCAGGTAGCTTCATAGGTGCCAAGAGAATCATTGGAATATCTGGAAACTTACACTCTGACCTCTTGCTCTCTGATCTAACCAAACTTTCTGGGCCGATTACACCTTCTCTCCCCCTATGGGTTGGACCAATTTGACT